TAATGTTTTCAATCAGAGTGATGCCATTTATGTCTTAATACCATCATGCAGACTATAAATGAAGTAGTACAGATCTTTTCTCAGAATATGAAAGTTATGTTTCATTCCATCTCAACGAAAAAGTCTCTAAAGAAGAGTAGGTAGGTGCTACAGATTTCTGTGTACCTCTCACAACAGTATATATACCACATTTAACATAGATTTGATTTCTTTCCGGAAGTCATGAAATGTCTGAATCTTTGTACAAAACCATGACTAAGTCATTTGCCCTGGAGTGGCTGTGGTTTGCTATGTCTTTTGGAATTAGTCCCCCCAATTAGATTGACCTTATAATCATAGTGTATAAAATATGATTCTTCCCTGGGCTTTCTCTACTTTTTTGTCTTGCATCATTTGTTTTTCATTGGCAGTTTTATCTTCAGCACCAAACACTGTGCCCGGACATGATAAACACCTGATTGTTAGCTATTCTCATCATTTGTATTCCTGTTGCTGCTGTGGCAAATTACCATGAACTTATGGCATAAAACAACACAAATGTATTCTCTTATTGTTTGGTAGGTCAGAAGTCCAACACAGGTGTCACTGGGCTAAAGTCAAGGTGCCAGATGTTGACAGGGCCACTGAATGCTCAGGGAGATTCCATTCCCTTCCTTCTGCAGCTTCTAGAGGCTGCCCACATTCCATGTCCCCAGCCAGCAATCACGTCACTCAGAACTCTGCTTTCAGAGTCAAATCTTCTCAACCTCCTGTCTCCCCTTGTTCCTTTCAAGGACCCGTGTCGTTACATGTTACCCTCACAGGCCCATTTTAAGATCCTTAATCACATTTGCAAAGCCCCGTTGCTTGTATTTTATTTCCCTATTGTCTGCTCTAACACATTACCATAAATGCATTCATTTACAGCTCTGGAGGTCTCAAGTCCAAGATCAGTGTCACTTGGCTAGCAAATCAAAGTGTTGGCAGGCATTCCTTTTGGAGATACAGGGGAAAATCTGTTTCCTTGTCGTTTCTAGCTTCTAGAAGCCATCTGCATTCCTTGACTCTTGGCCCCTTCTTCCTCCATGTTCAAACCAAGAACATAGCACGTTTGATTGTCTTTCTTTGGCCAGGACACTTGCTTCAGTCCTTACATTTCCTTTTCTCTAACTCTGACCCTCCTGCTTCCCTTGTATAAGGGCTCTTGTGAATGCACTGGATCCTCCGTAGAATCCAGGATTATTTTCCCATCTCAACATCCTTAATTTAATTATATCTACAAAGTCCCTCTTGCCATATCAGGTAACATATTCATAGATTTCAGGGATTAGTTTTTCTTGCCATTTTTAAGCCCAAATTCTCTTCAGCTTTTATTTAAAGGTCCCACTCACCCATTAGGCATTTACTTCTAGGTTACCAACCCAAGTCTCAAAATCTATTTTCAGCACCACCTCTTCCTTCCCTGTGGTGGTTTCTCTTCCTACTTCTCCTGTTTCCTCTGCTTATCCCAGCTTAGAACCTTAGAGATAGATAGTTTGTGTTGTTAGTCAAAGATTTTATTCTTTCTCTTGATTTTCTGAGGATGTATTTGGGAGAAGTAGTAGAGGAAGCCCAGTGTATTATTCTAGTTGCCAATAGTTAGGCCATATTATTGCACTGTTATTTTAATATTATACCATGCTGTCCAGATGTGAAGAAAAGGAGAGTGTTTATGAAAACTCTTTAAAATGTCTTTCTGTGGTGTATAATATACAGGATGTGTCTTGTCTGCGCAGTTTTGTGAACTCACGTATGCAGTGTGCTTTGGGTGACTTTTCAAGACTGTATACCCTTTGCAATTAAAGAGATATCAGCATGCCCATCTGAATTTGAACTTTTAATGTGCCTTACTGCATTAATTCTTTAAAGCAGAGCACTGCCATCCTGATTCCTACAAAACAGCAGCTTCTCTACTTATTTTTCGAGTTATGTATGATAGTTGAGGGCTTCTGCTTAGCAACTGAACCAGGAGAGCATTCCGTAAATGGGGAAATGTTTCCTTCTTTGTGTGGCAGGAGTCTCAGGATAGGTTTGCACTGTGTTACTCTTGGGCACTGATTTATGTGGGCTAGTTTGGAAGGTAGGTACCAAGAATCAGTTGGATCAGTTTGTATATATGAAGGAGTGAGGTGAGGGGATTAACTTGATGGAAGTCCGGGAGAGGGACAGTTATCCACAAGGAAGTCAATGAAAAAGGACATTTCCCCAGGTCTAGGGAAGGGGCAGTTCTTAATACAGAGAACAGTTGTTGTTCGGCTGCAGCAACTTGTCAGGCCAAGTCCTCTGAGAAGCAGACCCCCCAAGGTGGGACTAAAGGATAAGACTATTCAAGGAAAAAAAAAAAATACTGGAGGAAGTACCTGTGTAGAATAAAGAGGAAGGGAGCAAAATGGATAGAGGGAGCCTCACACTGAGATTCAGGCCTGAAATCTGTGGACAAAGAGAAAGAACACTTGGGTAGGAAGAATAACTGATGCAGCACAGTTCTGAGGACATGGTTTCCCGTGTGATGGGGAGACTCCAAGTCAAAGGGGCCCGTGAGAGGAGCCCTGTACCAGGAAGGAGCAGGCCAGCATCAACACCCTCGTGGAGTTCAGCCCTTCCCCAGGAGCTGCACACAGCACTCCTGGGCTAGCAGCTGGAAGGCACTGTTACCTGTGTTTTATTCAGTAGATTCTCTCAAGGTGAGACCTAAGTGGGACGCCTCCACGTCTACCCTTTGAATCACACATAGTTTACTTCCTTATGCTCATTTCGGAAGTAATCTTCAAAGTGACTTTAATTTTGGCCTCCTTCCCTACTTCTCCTAACAGTCTGGCCTTACTGGTTCAAATAGACAAAGCCACCATAATATTTTATAGCCATAATATTTAAGTAGTAATGTTAATTTGTGATTAAAACAAATACTACAAATTAATCATATAAAATGTTTTATTTTGAATTGAACACTTTTAATCAAAATTATGTATGTAATATTCTAAGTTGCTGCTTATAGCTATTGTTCATACATTCTCCTTACTGTATAATATATTTTATGTGAATTTGTTAGATGTTAGAGTTTCTGACTCTGCATCTGAGGTCCTTTCATCAGACATTCTTATTTGAATGTAACCTGGTTTAATAAGATTGACTTCTTATTTTTAATACCTAGCTAAGGTTTGTATATAGTTATGGAGCAGTGCAAGTTTTACTCTTACTAAATAAAAGGGAGAAGGACAATCCTATTAACTTCATGAGTAGAAAACTTTGGGAAATGGAAAAAAGGATTGCTTTGCCTTCTTTAAAGCAAGGTGAGATTGTGAGGAGTGGGCGCTGTGGGGGTAGAACTGGATGCTTAGACCGGGAGGATTGGTGCCTCAAAAGCTGCCAGGTTTTTTAACAGTTACAGAGCAAATTCAACCTATCTCACCAGCATTCTTTAACCCCCTGCTTTTCTGTTTTGTTTTGTTTTGTCTCATTTTTAGTAGCAAGAGAAGAGCACCACTCCCCATGCTCTCTCCTCTGCTTGCCTTTCACATGCTCCTCACGCCGCCTGGAGTGTTTTTATCCCTGCCTCTAGAAAGTTCTGTCCTGTAAAACCTTCCCTCTGACATGAAAGAATGTCCCGTCTCTGTGCTCTGAAAGCCATAGTTAACTTTCACCCAGCACTTACACATTGTCTCACTGGTATTTGTATTCTGAATTACTGCCACCCTCTGACAAATGGAAAAGACTGTTCACCATTGGAATCATGCCTTAAATATATTTTTGAACTTGTTATTCATTAGATTTATTTTGATTACATGTTGCCCAAAAATTCTTTTGGAAAAGCGTTAACGGTAATGAACCAATGCAATAATGTTAATGAAATTATAAAAGAAAATAGAGCCATGGGAAGAAGGAATCAAATAAGCCAACTGCAGTAACTGTTTAAGTAACAAATTGCCCCTGGAAAATATGGGCATCTGGAACCAAGCAGCATAATATCATTTAGTCCTCATTATCACAGAGTAGTAGAACAATTGTTCCTTTGGAGACTAGTTGATTTTTATCTTAACCCTAAAGTTCAAGAAAGCTCTCATACTGGACTTTTCATATCAGATAGTAGTATAAATTTATTTTAATTAACTTAATGTTTCTTGAAGACTAAATGTTTTTGGATGTTTTATTTTGCTAATTTGTGGGGGGTAAATTAGCAGACAAGGATAAAAATTGGCATTGCATATTTACCAAGTGGTGGGGGTGCAGATAAGTAAAGAGATCATTTCATACAAAGTGCTAAGTGCTTTGATTTATATAAACTTAACGTTGCTCTATATAGGAGCACTTACTCAGAGGATAAGGATGAAGGAAGACTACTCTGAGGAGGTGATTTCTGATGTCGGAACCAAGCTTTGAAAACCATTTAGAAGTTACTGTGGCAGAATGGGGCTTGGTGCTGAAAGGGGAAGAAGCCAAGGAGTGGACAGAGAAAAAGGACATTGCAGGCTCCAAGAGCAGAATGTGCAAAAGCCCAGATGCAACAAAGTACCAGGCATCTCAGATGCTAAGGTTTTAAGCAGGAGCCTAAACACGCAAGGTCTCATATTCAAGTTAGGCAATTTTGCATTATTCCCAAGAGTACTGAGGAATTACTGAAAGTGTTATGTCAGGAATCTGACATGATGACTGTGGTCATTTTGAAAGATAATAGAATGTGTAGTATGGACATACAAATTAAAAGGGAGCAAGACTGAAGCCATAGAGATTTTTAGGATGTGTCTAGAGTAGTGACAATGATGGCAGTAATAGCATTGCTCCCACAAAAATGCTGATCAGCTGTGTCCTCCATGAATAATACCAGATGACCACAGATTTCATTTCGCATAGCTGTGTCTTCCATGACCTGCCATAAAAAACACTCTGCATTACTTTGTAGTAAAGGTGATTTTTATGTATTTTAAATTATACTGTGGGAAACTTTTCTTAGTGATGGAATTTCTTTTCTCTGAAAATTGTATTAGAACTATCATATGCTTGGATCTTCAATGAATACCCATCATTTGTTGAAGAAGATAGTCGGAGGTTTGTTTCTCAGGAGACAGGCCACCTCTACATAGCCAAGGTGGAGACATCCGACGTGGGAAATTACACATGTGTGGTGACAAGTACGGTGACAAATGCCAGAGTGCTGGGCTCCCCAACTCCTTTGGTTCTACGTTCTGATGGTATGAAATGTTTCAAGGTGCACGTCCAAGTGGAAGTGTTGTAAACAGCAGCCAAAGGAGAGTGAAAAGTATATTGTGAAGAATTATCCTGTAATTTTGGTCAGAACAAAAACTATAAGTACAAGGATGAAAATGATTCCATAAACCATAGCTCCCAGTATCTAATTCTCACCCGGGACTGGCTTTATAATTTGCAAGAACCAGTACAAAATGAAAAATAGGAGCCCATTGTTAAAAAATTATTAGGAATTTCACGATGCTGAGAGCAGACCATTAAACCAAGCATATGGCTCCCCTGACCTTGAAACTAAGTTCACATTCTCTGAAAGTCACCTGTTCTGACTTTTGTCAGCTTGAATTTCCTAAAACTCTGGATATTTTGTTACAGGCTAAAAAACATCTCTAAAAAAATTTTTTAAATGTGTACATTAGATCCCCAGAACTTATTCATCTTATAACTAAAAGTATATACACTTTGACCAACATCTCTCCATTGCCCCCAACAGCTTGGGGATCATAGTGAATAATACTGTACTGTAAACTTGAAATTTGCTAAGAAAGCAGATGTTAAGTGTTCTTGCCTCAAAAAATTAAAAAGTTAAAAAAAATCTAAATGGTATTAATACGAGTTACTAGATGTGTTAATTTGATCAAGATAATTATTTCACAGCTTATACATATATTAAATCATCACATTGTACAGTGTCAAAAAAATCATGTACAATCTAAATATATACAATCTTTATTTGCTAATCATACTACAGTAAAGATGGAAAAAAGAAAAAGAAAAGATATGTTTCACCAGTCCCTTCATGCCTGTTTCAGGAGAGCCCACGGGCTATAGAGGAAGTAGATTTGTAATTCCCCACTTACACAAAACCATATCTGAAAGGGCACAATGCCATAACTACACATTAAGCACTTCTTTCCAATCAGCTATAATTGGATTTGACCTTTCCCATTTATCAGTTACTGTTTCTTGTCTCACGGGAGCTATTTAATAATTTTAGTATTGGTATCTGTAGTACCAGGGTACCATTAAGTAAATTCCTTCCCATAATTTTGCTATTTAGGATATTTCAAGAAGCCATACATTATATATTTTCAGTTTGACTCGAAATGTCCAAACTGAGTACTGAATAAAAAAGCCTCTCGTTTCATATAGTGCAAAAGGCATAATGTTTTTCTCAGAACTGCTCTGTGAGTGGCAACTCATGAACTGTGGAATCCAGAGTTCCTGAATGTTTCTTGTTGCATGTCTGGTCCAGGTTAGTACATCTAAAAGTACCTAATAGATTGGCTCGTGAGTAATTTAGATTATTAGAGAAACTAGTTTAGAATAAAGCAAAAGGAAGTTTAATTTAAGGAAAATGGGACCATTCCAATGGAAATGATGAAACCGTTAACTTTGAATTGTGGGTTTACAGGTGTGATGGGTGAATATGAACCAAAAATAGAAGTTCAGTTTCCAGAAACTCTTCCAGCAGCTAAAGGTTCAACTGTGAAATTGGAATGTTTTGCTCTTGGAAAGTAAGTTTTATAACATTTGCTTCCATGTACTGAAATAACAGGCTCTGTAAGAGATCAAGATAGTTTTTGACAGACTCTTCTTTTCCTTATTTTCTAAAATTTTCTATCATTTAGAAGCAAAGGAAAAATAAAATACAGGGAAAATGCACATATATAGTTTAGTTTGAAATTTTAAAGGCAATTTGCAGAAAATGACTATGCCTGCCTAATTTCATAAACTAAATTGGTTATTTTTCTTTTGCTTGTTCATTTTTTGTATATCATACTGGAGGTAAGTGTTAGACTTTTTTTCTTTAAATGATGAATTTACTCAAGAAAATGCAAAATTTATTTGATAAAAATTAAACTTAAAGAGGAAAATCTTTATCAAGTTTAAATAATTGAAAACTGGAGACATTCTGCATTTGAAAATGTGTGCCTTTTTCCTTTGTTCTAATAAAAGCTTTATTTTGTCAATCCTGAAATGCTTCCAGACATCGTTTTTTTTTATTGAAGTATAATTTATATATAATCTTATATTGGTTTCAAGTGTGCAGCACAGTGGTTCAACAGTTGTCCATATTATTAAATCTCACCCCCTCTAGTGCAGTTAGTATCTGTCAACATAGGAAGATGTTACAGAATAATTCGCTGTATTCTCCATTCTGTACGACCATCCCCCTGACCAACTTATATTGTAACTGAGAATTTTTGTGCCCCTTTATCCCCCTTACCCTTCACACCCCTCCCCCTCAACCCCTCCCCCGTGGTAAGCACCAGTTCTCAGTGTCTTATGAGTCTACTGCTATTTTGTTCATTCTGTTTTGTTTTGTTTTTATTCCTGTTCTGACTTTTGTCAGCTTGAATTTCCTAAAACTCTGGATATTTTGTTACAGGCTAAAAAACATCTCTAAAAAAATTTTTTAAATGTGTACATTAGATCCCCAGAACTTATTCATCTTATAACTAAAAGTATATACACTTTGACCAACATCTCTCCATTGCCCCCAACAGCTTGGGGATCATAGTGAATAATACTGTACTGTAAACTTGAAATTTGCTAAGAAAGCAGATGTTAAGTGTTCTTGCCTCAAAAAATTAAAAAGTTAAAAAAAATCTAAATGGTATTAATACGAGTTACTAGATGTGTTAATTTGATCAAGATAATTATTTCACAGCTTATACATATATTAAATCATCACATTGTACAGTGTCAAAAAAATCATGTACAATCTAAATATATACAATCTTTATTTGCTAATCATACTACAGTAAAGATGGAAAAAAGAAAAAGAAAAGATATGTTTCACCAGTCCCTTCATGCCTGTTTCAGGAGAGCCCACGGGCTATAGAGGAAGTAGATTTGTAATTCCCCACTTACACAAAACCATATCTGAAAGGGCACAATGCCATAACTACACATTAAGCACTTCTTTCCAATCAGCTATAATTGGATTTGACCTTTCCCATTTATCAGTTACTGTTTCTTGTCTCACGGGAGCTATTTAATAATTTTAGTATTGGTATCTGTAGTACCAGGGTACCATTAAGTAAATTCCTTCCCATAATTTTGCTATTTAGGATATTTCAAGAAGCCATACATTATATATTTTCAGTTTGACTCGAAATGTCCAAACTGAGTACTGAATAAAAAAGCCTCTCGTTTCATATAGTGCAAAAGGCATAATGTTTTTCTCAGAACTGCTCTGTGAGTGGCAACTCATGAACTGTGGAATCCAGAGTTCCTGAATGTTTCTTGTTGCATGTCTGGTCTAGTACATCTAAAAGTACCTAATAGATTGGCTCGTGAGTAATTTAGATTATTAGAGAAACTAGTTTAGAATAAAGCAAAAGGAAGTTTAATTTAAGGAAAATGGGACCATTCCAATGGAAATGATGAAACCGTTAACTTTGAATTGTGGGTTTACAGGTGTGATGGGTGAATATGAACCAAAAATAGAAGTTCAGTTTCCAGAAACTCTTCCAGCAGCTAAAGGTTCAACTGTGAAATTGGAATGTTTTGCTCTTGGAAAGTAAGTTTTATAACATTTGCTTCCATGTACTGAAATAACAGGCTCTGTAAGAGATCAAGATAGTTTTTGACAGACTCTTCTTTTCCTTATTTTCTAAAATTTTCTATCATTTAGAAGCAAAGGAAAAATAAAATACAGGGAAAATGCACATATATAGTTTAGTTTGAAATTTTAAAGGCAATTTGCAGAAAATGACTATGCCTGCCTAATTTCATAAACTAAATTGGTTATTTTTCTTTTGCTTGTTCATTTTTTGTATATCATACTGGAGGTAAGTGTTAGACTTTTTTTCTTTAAATGATGAATTTACTCAAGAAAATGCAAAATTTATTTGATAAAAATTAAACTTAAAGAGGAAAATCTTTATCAAGTTTAAATAATTGAAAACTGGAGACATTCTGCATTTGAAAATGTGTGCCTTTTTCCTTTGTTCTAATAAAAGCTTTATTTTGTCAATCCTGAAATGCTTCCAGACATCGTTTTTTTTTATTGAAGTATAATTTATATATAATCTTATATTGGTTTCAAGTGTGCAGCACAGTGGTTCAACAGTTGTCCATATTATTAAATCTCACCCCCTCTAGTGCAGTTAGTATCTGTCAACATAGGAAGATGTTACAGAATAATTCGCTGTATTCTCCATTCTGTACGACCATCCCCCTGACCAACTTATATTGTAATTGAGAATTTTTGTGCCCCTTTATCCCCCTTACCCTTCACACCCCTCCCCCTCAACCCCTCCCCCGTGGTAAGCACCAGTTCTCAGTGTCTTATGAGTCTACTGCTATTTTGTTCATTCTGTTTTGTTTTGTTTTTATATTCCACAAATAAGTGAAATCATACAGTGTTTGTCTTTCTACATCAGTTTAAAATAGCAAATCACTTGCCACTTTTCTTCTTAGTCCTGTACCTCAGATTAATTGGAGAAGAAGTGATGGACTGCCCTTTTCCGGTAAAATTAAATTGAGGAAGTTCAATGGTGTCCTTGAAATCCCCAACTTCCAACAGGAAGATTCAGGGTCCTATGAATGCATTGCTGAGAATTCACGAGGAAAAAATGTCGCCAAAGGGCGTCTCACTTACTATGGTGAGCATCTACTCTGGGCAAATTGGATGTTCAACTTTTGCTCTTTTTATAAACTGTTGTTGGGGGTTGGGAGATCACAGCAGTATCCCAATGTCCAACTTGTTCTGTTTTACATTTTGTTAAATGAGGATAAATGATTATCATAGAAGGAATTAAGGAAATTTTACAGTGAAATTGGAGGCATGACATATTCTTTTTGCATTTTAAAATGATTTAATAATGAAGTATTTCACTTTTTTTCTAAGAATAATCTTTTATACACTTAACCATATCAAGGAGAGATCTCCCTCTCTAGAAAATGTGGTTTTATATCTTTCTTGATGATCTTTACTAAGCAGAAACTGTCTACTGGGAAAACTGGCAATTACTGTATTAGACAAACTACATCAACTCAGGCTCTTGTTGAGTTTTTCAGTGTTATTCTATCCCTTCCAATAATGTAACTACTGTGTTAGGTGCCTTTAATCTGTAATCACATTTATTTGATGTACTGCTCAATTTCGGTAAGCAAAGGATAATAATGTTACCTTTATTTAGAGTCTATTGGTTAGAAAATTAGATTGTCTTTTTATTCAAAATTTGTTTTCAAATCTATTTTATTAAAAAATACTAGTTTTTTGATGGAAACAGATTTGAAAAGCATAAGCTATGATTTTACAAAATGTACTATAAAATTTATGAGGATATAAGCTCAGTGACTGTATATTTGCATTTAAATCATTAGACACTAGTGGGAATTGACCACTTTTGTGAAAGGCAAATTGCATCATATTCTATTTCTTTTAGAAAGTGGAAATTGAAAAAGTTTGCAAGGACAAATATTAAAATTATAGGGCTTATTATGACCCCCCTCAACAGTGAATGTGTTACATGTTCCTGGGTTAACACTTGTGTTACTGTAAGATCTGAGGTTCTGTAGGGATCAAAATGGAGGTTATGGGTCACTCTTTGTTTTACCTTTTTCATGTTATTACACGATTAAGTTAGAATATATAACACCAAATTGAAGTTATTGAGGTCTCAATGGCTACGTGTTGGTGGGATGATAGGAAGGTGGGTTGGGTACACTTAACCCATGTTACTCTACAGCTCTAAGGCCATCGGAGGGCAAGTTGCCTTTTCCCATATCCTGCCTTAGATCCCTGTTCCTGAGCAGCCACTACCTGATGCAGGCTAAGGAGTGACCATTCCAAGAAAACGTAAGAAATTCTGTCTTAATGCTTCAGTAGGGATGTTTTGGCTATATTGAAACTGCAGGTCTGCATAAAACAGCCAGGGCGTATGCCTCATAGGACAAGAAACTGAGAGCTAAGTTGGTACTCAAGTGTCTTAGAATCAGACCCTGGCTTGCTTTCCTTGTAATTTATTTTTTTCTGCCTTTATCTATCTTTTTCCTTTTTTTGCTTATTAGTTTCCACCATAGTCATAAAGTGGCTGCCAGCAGGGACCAGCACATCAATCTTTGCCCATCCTTCCTTTCTTCAAACCATCTTGCAACTCACTTCTCAAATCTCTCTGGCTACAAGTTGATTCCTAAACCAATTACTAGCAAGGAGAATTGGCTTAAACAACTTAAGAACCTATGCTTGGAACATGGAATATGGTAGCATTTCCCTGCATGTATGGACAGTGTGAGGCAATGTGAGAGAGAGAGTTAAATGGAAAATTGGGACTATTTTAGAAATAGAGAAGGGAGGAAATGGATACATAAAAGGCACCCAACATCATCCACTATACTTTATAAAGAAGGTAGCTTTACTTTAGCCTATTACATGGCTAATATGGTATTTAACTGAGAAAAAAAAAACAGAAACTAATGAGATACAGATCTTCATGAAAATAGCTCTGCAGTGCTGGCTTAAGACTAGTGAAGTCAATAAATGCCATGCACTTCCTTGGTTGTGTGTTCTCATATTTCATTTAAATAATGTTCTGATAGAATATTTGGATCTCCTATGATAAAATAAAGGGGAAATCACAGTTAACATGGCATTTGTAGTCTCAGGATTGGCTTAGTCCAGCAAATTATTTTCCCATTTGGAGAAGAAGAGTAGTATTGAGAAGCCAGTAGAAATTTTTGCCAGAATCTCAAGTCTTAGTCAAGGGCTCATATGTGAGTCTATTTGCAGTCTCATTCCATCTAGGGTGGTAAGTTCTTGAAAGAAGAAAATATCTTTTAATATAAAGTAGAGAAAAGTGGTTTTGGACTGAACTACACTTCAGATTGGGCAAGGGATTTGTATAAAAAACAAAATAAGGCAAAACTTAGACCAGTATGGTTTTCTCTAAAAGCTCAGTAGCTATTTTTTCCTTTTCAATTTCATTATGAAAGAAAGCAATTTTATGAGATACAAATCTTCCCATGGTTACAATGAAATAGAAATAGATAAACTGTTTCTCCATATGGAGGATGCAAATGTGAATCCCACAGTTCACATCGCATGCATTATGCAATGTGAAACCAGTAAGTCATCTCACCTCCCAGTTTTGGATCTGAAACACAAGCTGAGACTTGGCTGAATATACTGTGTATATTGAGTGAGTTTCATTGCAAGTGGTATGTATGTTGCTTTCATCTGTGAAAAGAATTTTACGAATACCTTCTAAAACTTAAGTAAAAGTGATAGATCCACTTGATGTAACTGATTTGCATACATAATTTAAGGTTGTATGAATTACTTCATTTTCATAAAAAAATCATACGATTCAAAGTAAACCAATTTATCCATCTTTCCTTGCTTTCATTTTAATCCACATAGAGGTTCATAAGATGCTCAGTGGTTTGTATTTAATTAAACTTTTTTTATAAATGGAAGGAAATATTTTTTTTCCTCAGCTAAAGAATCTCCTCTATGGATGTTAGTTTCTAGTGTGTAATCAAAACTAGTATCTGCTGTCATTCACGTATTAAGCTGTCATTAGTTGCAAACTCATGATTCAAAAGCGCACTTGGAAAGAAAATCTATTTTGTGTATCTGCATTACTACCTGCTAATAGGTATCTGAAGGATATATTGGCAGAATTTTGAAAACAGAAAACATAATGAGTTTGGCTTAATTTAGGAAATGGCAGATTGCCACATCCATCCTGAAATCTAGGAACGTTTCATATATCTATTTAGTATGTATTTAGAGAATTAAATGTAATTTTAGCCACTGTGCTCATGTTAATACAATGGTTAGTCTCCTATGCATTTATAATTACTTGGATAAAGTATTTATTTATTTGTTTGTTTGTTTTTTCATTGCAGCGAAGCCTCATTGGGTTCAGCTCATAAAAGATGTGGAAAAAGCAGTGGAGGACAGTCTTTATTGGGAATGCCGAGCCAGTGGAAAGCCCAAACCCTCCTACCGATGGTTGAAAAATGGAGAAGCCCTTGTGCTTGAGGTACATGCATGAGTCTGGTTAACCCTTCCTTTGTCCACTTTGTGTTAAATAAATGCCTTCTCTGCTACCTAGTACCAAAGTAAAAGTACTGCATTTGCCCATGTTCATTGGCATTGAAGGAGTGGTACAGGGAAAAAGGTATAAAATACGGCTACTCAATCTGTGAAAGAAGAAATATTTGCAATATTGAATTCCACTGGGAAAAGGTGATTTTGTGAATTTAGTGTATAAAATCATATATTATTTTTTTGCTTTTGAAATTAGAGAAGGCTTTACTTTAATCAAATGTAGAATGTAATTTCCTTTTTCCTGTTTGACAGCTTGGCAGCCATCTGGAGAATAAATATATTTATTAACTTAGTTACCTTGTTATATGAGTACTTATTTTCTCCATCACTTTGCTTCTCAAGCCATGTAATTTTTGCTCTGTTTAAAAATTGTGTACCAAGTCAGTTATGTTCCTTCACATTTCTACACATAACCTTTCATGCTACCTAAAATCCCTTAATAAATGTGTGTTTCCTGTTCCCTTTTTAATGCACAAAATTTATAAGGTCTTTAATTTGCATGATTTTTTAAAAAATGATGAAAATCTCTCCAGTAGACAGGACAAAAAGCATGATACACTTTTTAAAGTCTGCAACTCTGACCACAGGGAAAAATGAAATGGCTGCAGTATTTTACCTCTTGCTTTGTTATTTATTTTACTGATATGCTTTTGGACTAAAGGATGTTTATTAGTGTTTCAATGTGTGGCTGTTAGGTTGAGTCAGTCTCACATTTTCAAAAGGGAGGAGCTTAACTTTCAGATTGAATTGCCTAATATTCTGAGAAAAAATGAAGGAAGTCTGTGAATGATTGAAATAATAGACAGTAGTTTTCATTTTTCTTTTAAATGATGTATACGTTTATATGCAAGACATTTTTGTTATCATCTAGGAGAGAATACAGATAGAAAATGGTGCCCTTACAATATCAAATCTAAATGTGACTGATTCTGGCATGTTCCAATGCATAGCAGAAAACAAACATGGTCTCGTCTATTCCAGTGCGGAACTCAAGGTTGTGGGTAAGACTAATTTTCCCATAATTTTTTTCTTAAATCCAACATCCTTGTCAACATACTATGCATTTGGTATTCCTATTTCTAATAACATCTACAGTATTGTAACAGTATCATTCAGGGATTCTAATCAAGATGTATATTTTAATGGTTTCTAAGGATAAGCAGCAATTATGCCAGAATGAGGCCTAAAGGTTGAAATAAATCAGCAGTAAGGAGAAAGCATTGACTGAAGACATCCTTATCCAACTCCAGTATTAACTAATAAGCAATGCTTTTTCACAGATAAGTGAGTTTGGTGCTATTTTTGGGTCATAATAATAAACACAAATTCAAATCAATCATTTATTGATCCCAAAAGAGGTGCCTTTATCTTTAGTAACCCTGCTGCAAGCATCAAACATTGGGCATACTGCAGCTTTAATTAACTAAGGCTCAGCTACTTGAAATTCCGAGTTGTTTTCTTTTCCTTGTACTTTAGGTATAAGAGAAGAAAGAAAAAATTATATCATGTTTAGGGCAGTTGTCCAGAAAAACACTTTAAGTTGTGAATGCCATAGTTTAAGTTGAAAATCCAAGCAAAATTATCAGAGCATAGCATACAATATGGCATAAGTAAGAAGGAAGGAAAGAAGGGAGGGAAGAAGGGAGGAAGGAAACATAGAAATATATTGTTACATATAATTAAAATGTAGACTTGGGTTTCAGCAGAACTTGATCCAGGGCTCAAACACCAATTGCCATTATCAGGCATTATATGATGTTCCCCAGTACATTCAGTTTCCGTTACCATGGTCAGTTTAGTATAAGAAGGATGTCTTTCTTGCTCAAACAAGAAGTCACAGTCCTGCATGTCATTGACCTCAAGTAGCTCATTTGGGTCACAAGCCCATGGCTGGCCCAATCCATATGGCCAGAAGTTTGGAAGGCTCTGATTGAGGTAGCTCAGCGGTCCTCAACTGGGGACATGTTTTTCACCAGGGGATATTTGGAAATGTCTAGAGATATTTTAGGTTGTCACAGTGTGGGGGAAAGAGAGGGAAAGAGGGCAGCTGGCATATGCTATTGGAAATCTTGTGGGTAGTGGCCAAAGAGGCTGCTAAAAGTCTCACACCAATGATTATCCAGCCAAAAAATGTCAGGTGCCACATTGAGAAACTCTGGTTTTAAGGAGAGCAGGAATCTCTTCTCTGGTGCCTAGAGGTCACAAACACATCTGCACTAGGAGGACTGCAGCCTGGGAGGGCAGATCATCAGCTGAAAATCTGGCTACTGTTCTCTGTGACAGAGAATCAGGGTGTTGTAACCGAAAGAACATGGAATTAATACACATTTTTCATTCGAAGCCCTGTTACACTCTTGTATTAAATTAATCTTTGAGCCATAGTTTATTCATCTTAAAATGGATGGATTCCTAGCCTACATGCTGCATAGAGGTGTTATGTGGGAAAAAATATGTGATATGTAAAAAATATATCTACTTTATTAAAATACAAATTTTATTTAGTAAAAATTATTCATTCAGGATCTTAATTTTTAAGGCCAACAACCTCTGGATAACATGCCTTCTTTTTCCGCAATCTTTCATATAACCATATAATTTGCTGTATTATCTCCACTTATCAAAAAATAAATTATATTACTGTGATTTGCCATAAGACAGAACATTAGATGTTTGGGAAAATGCATTAGTCTCTTAACTTTTTTCCCATGTTTGCAGTAAAGGAAAAGCGATGTTTAAACAATCTAATGTGATATTATAACATTGTTATAATAATACATCTTATGTTTCTCTAACTTGAAAAATAAGCCTAACCATTTGAAAATTTTATAATAGACCTTGATAAGTTTTATGCAAGAGAATAACAATTTAATACTCAGCCTTCATTCTAAAAACATTTCCTGAACACCTACTAAGTGCCAGGCATGGTGCTGTGCCAAGTGCTATGTCCTATGAGTGACAAGAGAGACCAATTCAGTTCTCTTTATGGAACTAACTTTCTAGAACATTATATGATAAATGTTTTTTTTTAATTTTAATAAACTCTTGATTGAGCTATGTTTACACTTTATAGTAAACTGTAAAAATTCCTATATAAAATTATTTATATAGGATTTTATAAGCATTATATCTCAAGATTTAGAACCTGGTGGAAAACACAGTAGCAATAATCAAGTTTTGAGCATTGAAACCCTGTGCATGTTACACAGTCCATCAAGTAAATCAAGTACTGACATCCTGTGTGTCAGGAAACTTCACAAATGGTTATAAAGTCCACCTTTGAATTGATGGGAATTAAAAAAAAATAAACCAAAGGTTGAATTCTCATCCTCTCTCTTTTCTCTTCCTGTTCAGCTTCTGCTCCAGATTTTTCAAAGACTCCAATGAAAAAGTTGATTCAAGTGCAGGTGGGCAGCACAATCAGCTTGGACTGTAAACCCAGAGCCTCCCCTAGGGCACTCTCTTCCTGGAAGAAAGGAGATGTGATAATGCAGGAGAATGAAAGGTATTCTGTGGTCCAAAAAGGTGGCGACTTACTTTCTTCTCACTTGCCATGTGGGTGACATCCTCATGATGCCAAAGTAGGTTTTCAGTATGAAATGAAATGCAGCAGCATTTCAGTAGCATGCGAGTCGTTGAAGAACCAAGAGAGTAGTAGTTTTGTTCTGTGACACTCTCATGACGATAGTAATCAATTTTTGAAATCTAAGAATAGGTATATATCTAACCCTTTCCCACATTGAGTATTTTAAGATTTTCCTCCCCAGTCACCTGGCAAGATTCAAACACTAGGATGATAAAGGAATGTCAGCCGTGGACTCAGGCCCTTGCTCAACATCCAGGTGGCCCCACATCCCAGGACAGAGAAGAGAAAATGATATAATGATAGCATGTAACAAATAAATACCAATTTGCTGGTGCCCTGTATTGAAGTAACTTAGCATTCCTTGTATTAGTTTAAGCAGAGTCTTTCTGGAGTTCTTGGTTATTACAATAACATTTAAAATGAAAAGGCAGAATGGAGCTTAAAAGCAGATTCTGGAGCGAGCCAAATTGTCTGGGTGCCAATCCTCTGTCTTTTTACGTGTTCAATGAAAAGCCTTACTCTTTGTGTCTCATCTTCTCATTTGTTAATGGGGATGATGATATTACTACATGCTTCACATTATAAGGATTGTTATGTGGGTGAAATACATAAATAACCATCTACCATTTAGGTCATTACCGGGCAGAGAGTAAACCAAAATATTGGCTATTATTGTCATTTATTAAGTGTTTATTCTGTGCTAGGTCCTTTGCTTAGAGCTTGTGATAAGTAGAATAAGGACCCCAAGGCTATCCATGTTCATATCCTGGAAACCTATGATTATGTTACATCACATAACAAATGGTAATTAAATTTGAAGATGGAGTCAAGGTTATTAGCCAGCTGACTTCAAAAGAGATTTTCCTGAATTATCTGGGTGGGTTTAAAGTAATAACCTGAACACTTAAAAGGGAACAAGGAAAACATAGGGCTTGACAGAGATACATGATAATCAAAGAAGAGGCAGGAGATTTCAAGCCTGAGAGGATCCCAGTTGGTGGTGTTGAGTTTGAAGATAGTAGAAGGGCACCTTGAACAAGGGTACTGAGATTCTATAAAATGGGAACAGTCCTCAGCTGACAGCCAGCAAGGAAATAGGACCTCAGTCCCATAACCAAAATGAACTGCATTCCACCAGAAACTTAAAGGAGCAAGAAATGATTCCAAAACCTTCTGAAGGAACATAGCCCAGACAACATCTTCATTTTAGCTCACTGGGATCCATACTGGACTTCTGACCTCCAGAACTACAAAATAATAATTTTTTTGTCATTTTAGGCCATTCAGTTTGTAGTAATTAGTTATAGAAACCAGAGGAAATTAACATAGAGTTCTACAAGCATTATGTCTTTTAAATATCTGTAACTCCCTGATGTGTAGGTCATATTCTTATCTCTGTTTCAGTAATGAGATAACTGAAGCTTTAGAGAGGTTATATAATTTGCCTAAAATCATACAGCCAGGATTTGAATCCATGTCTTTTTGACTCTAGGGCATAACCACTCAGCTTTTACAGCACCACATTTGATATAAGGATCTCAGAATCTTAGAGGTGGTCTCAGTCTGAAGTCATGGAGTCCAAATGATCCTTTTTGGAGAAGAGGGGGAAAAAAAAAGTACAACCTCAGGCCAAGAAATGTGGATTTACTTTTCCAAAATTAGAGTCTTACTGCAGATAACCAGGTTGAACTGTATGTAGATGATAGGCATAAAGATATTTTTATGAGTTGGTTATAGCACCATCTGTAATCCGTCAGTATTCAATGGGCATATCTCCATTCCAAGGCAGCCAAGCAGGATGACCGGGCACAGTTGTGAGCTGAGTGGTTAAACAGAATCCAGCCAAATGCTGGGCCACGTGGAATAGATTTCTGGAACAGAAAGTTAATTAGTGGTTGGGAGTTTAATTGTGTGAACCAGTTTAAACAAGTATTAGCTTGTGGCACAAACTAGTTAATTTTGGCTGTATGGGAAGTTTAATCTTCCTATACAACTGCTGACATTTTTGTGTTCAAAAATTTTTTGAATAATTTTAACTGCATACATCAATTAAATAGTGATTATGTCCCAAGGATTTCAATGCTTTACACAATAATAAACCCACTTGTCCTCACAGCAGTGCCTATCATAGGCAGAGGTGTTTAATCTTAATTTTAAAGAGAATAAATAGATTAGGAGATTTAGCTAAAGGCACACAAGGAGAGATTTACTCCCACATTATAATGATGGGATAATGTAGGAAGAAAGAGAATAATTTCCAGACTCTAACCTGGAATTTCTGATGGACTTGGCCACTTACTACCTTGGTGTCATTAGTCAGATATGTAACACCTCTTAACCTTAATTTTCTCATCCATAAAATACAAATAATAATCTCTACTTTGTATAGTTGCTATAAAGTGAGCATTTACATTAACATCTGATATCTGTAGATACACTGATCAGTAAGAAAAAAGTTATATCACAAATAAAATACTGAAAGTAACAGTGGCTGAAAAAGGTAGGAGCTTTTGCTTTTTGGTTGGGGGGCTCATTGTCTGAGTGGTCCCTGGAAGTAGGCACGCAAGGCCCCCTGGAGTCCACTATCCTCAGGGACCTTTTATCTTTCTGCTCCATCATCTTCATGTCCTAAACCAAGGTGGCAGCTAAACTGTTGGGGCTTCAGCCTGATAATGACATCCCCCCAGTGTCATCTCGTCATCATCTCCCAGTGATGGGAAGGAGGAAGCGTAGAAAGAAGGATAGACTTTCTTTTAGGAAACTTCCTGGAAGTCCCGCACAATAATTTCACTTATGTCTTAATGCTCAGAAATTATTTCCCTGGCCAAATGTAGATGCAAGGGAGGCTGGGAATTTCTTTTTTTTTTTTTTTTCTGGTGGGTATGTAACCAGTGAGAAATTGGGATTATGTTTTATGAAGAAAAGGGAAAATAGTTGTTACTCTAGAAGTGTCTCATGCTCATAAATGTTAGTTCTCTGTCCATTGCAGGCCTCCACTCTCCATTTTGTACTATTTTTTTTTTCTAACATCCATCCTATGAGTGAGGAAACTTTGAGGTATAAACATAAGGTTAAAAGAGGAAACATGCTTAAGGAGAAGGTCCTCAGTAGTGCAGCCCTTCCCACGTCTTAGAGCCTCTGTAACAAAATACAACGAACTGGGTGGCTTATAAACAAGAGCAGTTTAATCCTCACAGTTCTGGAGACAGAAGCCCAAGATCAGAGAGTTCCAGCTTAGTCGTGATTGGATGAGGGCCTTCTTCCCCTTAGATACTCATATGGCAGAGAGCAAGAGTCTTTTGGGATGTCTTTCATAAGGATGCTGATGCCAGTCATGATGACTCCATCCTCAGGACCTAATCACCCAACCACCCTGCTTCTAAATACCATCACCTTGGGGACTGGGATTTAACATCTGAATTTGCAGGGGACTTAAGAATTCAGTACATAGCACTGGGTCTGGTGGTTTGGATTTTGCCTTTATATCTTTAGACAGCAAAAACACTGTTCAGCCAGAGCCTTGGTGTTTAGGGGAAAAAAGGCTGCTAGAAGCAATTATTGAATAAGTTGCAAATTTGAATTTTCTCCAAGTTCATGGGGAATCAGAACAGGCAGGCCTCAGCCATCACTTGGCAGCAAAAGCACCATGTCTGTCCCTCTTGACTTAGTCTGCAGGCTTAAGCCAAATTGGGGAAACATTTTAAATGATAGATTTAGGATGGTTGTTCAGCCGTTGGCTGTTCCAACTTAAAATATGCAGACTCAAATCTCATTTTGGGGGACAAATGAATTCATTGATGCATTTGAAAATTTAAGACAAGGGAAAATTTTTGATGGGGTGTTTATGGCAAGATCTTTAAATTCATTAGTTTTTGTTTTTTTGGTTTTTTACTAGGTAAATTGGGGTTTGCCAGTGAATAAGAAACTTATGATAAATAAGAAAGCATTCTACAATCGAGCATAGGGGCTATTGGTTGAAAATGTACTTTTGATTAAGTATGTGTGTGTGTGTGTGTGTGTGTGTGTGTGTGTATATATATATATATATATATATAGCCATTCAAAGACTAAGTCAGAAAAGAAAGTCAAAGATTAAATGTCTTCTTAAAAATTGTATAAATTAATAAGTATGTCTCCTATGTAAATCACAATACATTTGGATAATTATAATCTACCTGGTTTGTAAGTTTTTATATCAGCATAATAACAGCTTTGTAATTGTGCATCAGCCATAGTAATGTGTATCTAAGTAAGTGAGACACCTAAATTGCAGAATAGTTTTGAAGAAATCAGTGTTATTGCTTTTAAGTAACGAGAACATTTCAAACTAAGGTAATAAAGGGATTGCTTCCCAACAGAGGTCTTTAGGAAAACTGCTTTCAGTAGATAACAAGGGCTTTTAATGCAAACAGTGATTACTGAACTTTTAAAATCAAGTTCTTACTCACTTATTTAAAAATATTTTGAGTTCCTACTCTGTGCTAGGCACTAGGCACTTGATTTTTATCAGTGAAATTCATCCCCTTGTTTGTAGCTTGTTTGGCCTCATCTTCAAATTAGGGAGCAGTGCAGCCTTTCTGGATAATGTAGTATCTATAGCAAGACTTGAACGATGACAAAATTTCACTGGAAAAGAATGCCTCAGGTAGGAGGAACAGTGCATGCAACAGCACAGAGGCAAGGGCAACATAGGTATCAAGTAGTTAAATGCTCAGTGTACCCAAGTGGAAAGAGTGTCTGAGGAGGAGCAGTGCAGAGAGAGTGGGGCTTAGGGATAAGCAAGGATCTGACTGTGAGTGATACTGTTGCCGTTCCTCTTTGATCCTCAAGATCATGTCTTGAAGGACACAAAGAATAAGGCCAACAGACCAGAGGATGGAGCAACTGACAGAATTTTATTAATGTAAAGCAAGGAAGAT